TGTCCCCTAATGGAAGATGGAGAGCTGACCTATTGCACAGTAACTTTAAAACCCAGATTCCAAATTTCCTGTTCTTTGTCTTCCGCGATGCCTTTAACTTGTGTCTTTGCTGTGCCCTCCCAGTGCAGAGAAGCCACCTCCATGTCTTGAACATCACTTGTGGTCCTGGAATTCAGGCACAGATGGGAAGGATGGATGCAGACCTGGCTTCAGCCACAAGCACAGAGGGAGGAAGGTGCTTCAGCCTCCTGGGAGCCTCCCTGTGCTCGTAAGGAACTACACGCAGCCCTGACGGGAAAGCGAAGCTGGTTTGGGGTGTGGGCTGGTGAGAAGCAGAATGATGCTGCTTTATGGGTGTTGTTTGCATGTTTCTGGGACAGGCTGAAGCACATAGTAGCCAGTGGTGTGCGAAGCTGCATGGAGATGGCTCCAGGGACAGATCCCACAGGGTCCTGGGAGAAGAATGGCTGAAAGGTGTGGAAGGATTCCTAAGGATCCCAGCTCCTCACCAGAATGAAGTGAGTACATCACAGGGTGGGGACAAGGTGGGGACGTGACTGTGGTGGGGACAGAGGAGCCTGAAGAGTATGTGGACACTGGAGAGGTGGTGGTGGGAGCAGGAGGGTGAGGGTGGCTTCAGAGGGCAACTGGGGAAAATACAGGGAATTGGGGAAAATACAAGAAATCGGTTACGAAAAGGAAGCAAACTTTGGATCAAGGTGGAAACCTGTAACATTTTAACTAAATGGTTCTGTCTGAACCATTCATCTGCTTCACTCCTTGGTGGCAGAACTTCTGCAGGGCTTGGGCAGGCAATGAACTAAAACTGATGGGAGAAGCCAGTGAGCCCGAGCCACCAGGATTAGAGGTCCAGCAAGAAGGTGGGGTGATGGGAGAGCATCTTTGAAGATTTCTTTGTAAAAATGTTAATTGCAGGCAGCAGAAGATGCCTCTGGGGAGTTATTCTGTCAGGCAGCAAAGGGGATGAAATGGCAGAGAAAGGAAATAAGGATTTTTCAGTGAACTGCAGGAAATCTTCCAGGCAGCTGCTATTGCCTGTCAGCAAGGAAGGAATTAAAGAACAAAGAGCTGAGCTCCCAACAAAAGCACTGAAATCATCCATCTGCCAGGGGGAAGAAAGGGATTCCCCTGGAGTGACAACCTGTTTCAGCACTGAGGCTAAAGAGCAGGAGCTATTGGGAGGGCTGGGGGGGAAACCCATGGAAGCAAAGGCCAGTTAAGGTGCTGCTCCTTCCCTGGCTGGGGGGGGTTTAACCCTCTGCTGCCGTGTCAGGGGCTGGGCTTGTGTGTTTCCTGAGGAGCTGGAGCCACTTCCAGTGGGACCTTCTGGCCTCTCCGAGGCTCTTGGCTCTGACCCAGAACAGCTGGCACGTTCCTGTGCTCTGTGATTTTTTGTCTTAGTTTCTGCACTGTTCCTAGTGCTCATGAACCCCCTAACTCAGTCATACTTTAAAATATTTCTTCACTGAACTAAACCCTCCTGACCCATTATTCGCTGTAGTTGTTCCTCTGGGCTCAGCCTGATCCCACCCTTCTGATACAGCTGTGCCTGGAATTCAGATACCACCTTTATTTGGCACTCAAGAGGCTGCCTGATGCCCTGCTGATGGGGTAAGGGAGGGATTTCTGTGGGCATGTTTATTACAGATGTTCCATCAGGTCTGACAGGTCCATCCTCTGAGCTGTTTTCCCTCCTACAGCTGCTGCTTAGTGTCCCAAGTCCCAGTGCTCTCTGCTGCCCTGGCTCAGAGGGAAGCCCAGCCTGGCTGAGCTCCTGCTCTCCTGTGTTCACTGACCCTCCTTGGAAATAGCTTTAAAAATTCCTCTCTCCTGCCAAAAGCATTTTGTGCCTCCTGGAATGGCTTCACTTGTGGAATCCTGAGCCTGCAGCCCCCAGGTGCCTGGCCAAAGAGCCTGGGTGTGACCACAAGGCCTGGTCCTGTGCTGAGGGACAGGGATGTTCTGGGTCTGTCCCCTCCTCTGCACGTCAACACTGAGCTTAGGGCAGAAAGTACCAAGTTGGCTTCAACACCCCTAAACCCTGATTTAGAACAAACCAAACCCTTTCTGGGATTCAAGTTGCTGTTTGCCTCCCCTAAGGAGCAGGGTGGCCACCACCCCATTGTGCACAGAGGTCCCACCCACGTATAGCAGAACCATTTTCCAGGCAGTGCTGCCACAGCCATCCTCACAGTGTGGCAAGTTTCACACTGCTTGTCCTCCAGCCCCAACAACTTGTCTGAGTGACTCCTGCTGGTTTCCACATCAGCTCAGTACCTCCCTCCCCACCAACTCAAGACTCCCAAGTGGCGGAGCTTAAACACTCAAAGCTTTTTCTTCCCAACAGGTAAAAGCTGCTCACTAAATAGCTTTGGGAGATGGTTTGATTTGTGACTTGGGGACAGGTTCTGAGCTCTGTTGTGGAAACTTTTAATCCATTTCCAGTGCAAACACCTGGTTCCCACTCCAGAGCGGTGCCCCCAGCATGTTCCCTGTGCTGGTTTAGGCTGCACTGACAAATGTAGCTACTCTGCTTGTCAGAAGAGCTGTGGAAAGCAAACCACACATGCAAAGGATAGCAAAATGAATTCCATTTATTCTTTGACAGACTACTGGTAGGAAAAAGATGCCTTGGCTCTAAGTTTAGCTACCACTGCTAAAGGAATTCCAGTGCTGACATCTGTTCAGAGTACAATGCAGGCAAAAAGCAGGCAAGCTGAATGTTCTGAGGTGGCAGAAGGTGTGTGTGATGGCATTGCATAAATCTGGTAACCCTCACTTGAGCAAGTGATCAGTTCTAACCATTTCTTTCTTAAAAAAAAAAAAAATCCTCTCAACCGAAGGCAGGGGTAAGGCTTTTGCATATCACTGCTATCAGTGTGAAACTGCTCATTTGCAAAGAGAAAAGCAACAGAAGACAGGCCTGAGGTATTCAGTGGTGGTAAACAGAGGGGCAGAGATGCCCTGTTTACCTTTCTATGTTAAGAGAACAAGAAGGCACTCGTTGGACTTCAAAAGGCAACATCTTACAGTGGAGAAAGGAAGTACTGCATTTAAGTTGGGGAGATCATTGCCACAGGATATTGCTGAGGTAAATAAATCTTATATTACATTTTGATACAAAAGTATTATTTGCAGCATTGCTGGCTAGCCTAAAACAACTGATCTATGTTCTGGAGAATCAATGGATCACTAAACAGTCATTCTGGGAAGAATTACTAAGCTAAATTAAAAATAAAGTTCTGGAGGCAAAGGGAGGGGCCGGTGCCCCACGGCGGGACCGGGCTCAGAGCGACCTGCGTGGCTGTGCTGGGGAGGGGACACAGCCCCTGGCTTCACTGGGGGCTGAGGCCACAGAGCAGAGGTAGATCTTGCATTTTGCAGATTTCTGGAGAACAGCACTGACAGGTTTGCTGGTTGGTATCGGCCTAGAGTGGTTCCTCTGTGCTGAGGTACGAAGAGGTGTGTGTGTCTGTGTCCATCACCGGGCACCGAGGGGGTGACACCACCCTGTGTGTGCTGTGCTGCAGGGCCCAGAGCAGGAGAGCAGGGGACAAAATGACACCAGCAGCTGGCTGCCACTTCCCAGCGTCACCCTGCTGCCCTCAGCAGGTAGACAGTCCACAGAAAGATTTAAGATGCGAGGCAGGGAGCAGGGGAAGCAGGACTTGAACTCTGAGAACCAAAAGGCCAGTGGGACCAGATCCTAAGGGAAAGGGGGGGCTGCAGGACCCAACCTCCAGCGTTTGTAACAGCTGGTAGTGTTGGGGAGAGGGCTTCAAAGACACTGAGTGGATGTGAAGCTGGGACCAGCTGTTCCTCCTGACTCCTGGATGTTATCACCCTAGGACTGAGGTAAAAATATATCTCTTGTGACTGCCTCGTGGATAAACCAAAAGGGTACTGACCTACTGTTGTGGGTAAAAAGCCCTAGAAACTCATACTCTGTTCCCCATCCCCAGGGAAGCTCCAGGCAGCACCGCGGCCCTGGGCTCCTCACCCAGATCTTCCACGTGCTTTGGTTTCCAGGACAGATGCACCATCTGTTTGCCTGGGGGAGAGATCTGAAAGGGCTCTGTCCTTACACCAGCCAGGGAAGCTGAGCTGGGAGCTGCTTCATCCCCTGGGCACGCGGGAAGCTGCTGCCTGCAGGGCAGGGGCTGCAGTGGTCTGAAGAGCAGTGGGTTTCCCCATGGGGGAAGAACATGATAGGTGAAGAGAAATCAGTGCGACCTGACTTCGTTGTGTAAACAGTGTTCTGGCTACACCACGGACAAACCCAGGTGGTGTTGGTGCCTCCTATTTTTACCATGGTGGGAACAGCTGCGTGTTGTGTAAACAATGCTCACCGTGAGGAGCCCAGCCCAGCGGCTCCGCGGGGAGGAGCTGGGGAGGTGGCTGGAGTCACCCTGTAAACGGTCTCGTTGCTTAACACTGGTGAGGAGTAGCTGCTTTCTGTGGAGTGGGCTGTGAGGGGAGATGGGATGAGAGGTAGTGGGGAAGAAAGGCTCTTCCCCGTTGGCTTCATACAGAGCGGGCGTCCTGACTTCTCCTCCTTCTCCGCAGGGAGGTGTTGGCTGTTTGGCCAGAATTGCAGTGTGAGAACATGAAATGGAAGCTGGACTCTTTTCAAAAGTTTAGCCCAAGATGAAAGAGTCTCAACTCCTTCTCAGGGACAGTCCCTTCCCAAGAGGAGCTCTCGGGGAGGGTCAGTGCTAAGCGCGGCTCCTGATTCACAGATAAAAAATTAGATAAAATACATCCAGTCTTTCAGCTGCCTCCTCTGTGCTGCACAGGGCTGGCACTCGCACAGGGACAGCTGCTCCAGTCTACAAGTGCTCCCTCCAGACATCAGAAACCTCCTGTCTGAAACAGCTCTGCAAAGCTTTGACACCCCAAAGGGAAGGAAGAGTTGTGCGTTTTTAAGGCTCTCCGCAGGAGGGTGCCGGGAAGTTCTGCTCTCCAGCGCCACCTCCAGCTTACTGGAATGCCTGGTGGAAACGCGGCAGCGTGGTTGTGCTCAGGCTGGAGGTGAAGACAGGGGGCAACGAGTGGAGGGGCCCAAAGTTCAGGGGGGCCCCAGCTCCAGGAGACTCTTGAGGTTGATGTTGCAAAGTGGAAAGCAGTGGCTGTGCCTCCCCTTGCGAGTAGCCCATGACCAACCCCCCTGATGACACAGGGGGATTGCAAGGAGGAAGGTTGAGGGGGAGGAAGCCAAGAAGATGAGAGAAGTCCATGTTAGCAGCACAGAGAGCCTCTGAGAGGTTAGCAGGGCTCTTGGAAAGCAAAGCCTCCTCCAGGGGGGGCGGCTGAGGCGAAGAGGGCTGAGGCTCACCAGATGAGAGAGACAGGCTGCCAGGGAAGTCTGACAAGAAGCTGTCCACCTCTACTTTGGGAAGTTTCTCAGGCAAATATGAGGTAGATCCAAGCTGATACTTTGGAGGAGGTTGTGGTGGGGAGGAGATGGGAGAAGAAAGCTCCAGAGGGTAGCTCATTCCCATCGGAAAAAACGGAAGAGAATTAGGAACCAAAGAATGGGGCATCCCTGAGCTGGGCATGGTCTGGAGATGTGTGCTGTACATGCCCACAGGCAACACGCCCGGGAAGCTCTTCCCACCTATCATGTCTCTGGATGCCATGCACAGGACAGGGCTCAGCTCTTCCTTCACTGCCACGGATGAGCTGCAGCTCAGCAGGCCCAGCATGTCCACCGGCTCCGTTTTGATCTTCAGCAGCTCCTGGGAGTGGCTCTTCTTCATGTGCCTGGTCAGATGGTCCTTCCTCCCAAACCTCTGGGCGCAGTACTGGCACAAGAAGTCCTTCCTCCCCGTGTGCACCACCAGGTGTCTCCGCACGTCCTTGCGGGTGTAGAAGCGCCGGTCGCAGTGGTCACACGGGTGCTTCTTCTCCTTGGCTCCCCCAGAGGCCCGCCGAGAGTGAGCCTTGAGGTGCTCCAGCAGGACCTGGGTGCTCTCGAAGCTCTGCAGACACACCTTGCAGCTGAGGTCCCCGCTGGCCGCCGCGTGCATGGCCAGGTGGCGCCGGAAGCCCAGCTTGGTGTTGTAGTTCTTGCCGCACTCGGGGCAGTGCAGAGCCTCCTTGTGGGGGTCGTGGGTCTGCAGGTGGTTCCGGAGGTGGTCCTTCCGGTGGAACATCTTCTCGCAGTACATGCACTGGTGGGGCTTCTGAGCCGAGTGCGTGGCCATGTGCCTTGAGGGAGAAAAGCAGGGAAGTTTCAAGACGCGCCTCCAATCCCTAAAGGAAAACCTGCTCCTTCGTGCCACGGAAATCCCAGGGGACGTTTTACCACCAAAAGCTCCTGCCACAACAGCCTGGGCAGTGGGGACTCCAGGTTCTGTCCCAGCAGTGCCCACCTCCACACAGGGCAACTTCAGTCAGCTGCTCAGCTCCTGCTCTCCCTGCAGGGGCTTTCCAAGGGGGAAAGGACACAGGGAACAGAGGTGGTTTGTGACCAGAAAGGCTTGTCTGCACGTGAGGAGGCACCAGACTGGCAGTGTCTGCTGGCAGCCCCTGTGCACTGCCCTCACCCTGGTGTCTCACACTCCCTGACACTCTGGTTCATCTAGTTTTAAGTTTCTAGTGATCATATTTAACTATTGTCCTCTGCATTTCAGTAGGAACTCTATTCCTTCATGCTGGAACGGCTGCCACTGAAATATTCCTGTCATTAAAGTTACAGGTTGGAGGAATGAAATGTCAATGCTGTCCTTGCTTTTCATTTTCCTTTTTGATCTGTGAACGCCACTTTCTGCTTCAATTTCCTCCTTAGTAAAACAGAGAACAGCCTGAGCTCAGGATGAAACATTATCTGAGGTTCTCTGGAAGGTGCTTAGTGTGGTGATGCCTGGGACCCGAGCGCTGTGCAGGGTGAGAGGGCATTTCCCCTCCTCCAGCTTCTCAGAAATTCAAGCAGAAAAACACCTATGAGGGGTTTCCCCCCACCCAACAGGGCAGCCCTGCTGGGCTCAGCAGTTACCTACCTGTAGAGCTTGTACTTGGAAGCAAAGGCTTTCCCACAGTGCAGCTGGGGGCAGTTGTAGGGTCTCTGCTCAGGGTGGGGCAGCGTGTGAGGCCTCAGCTTGTCTGTGCTGGGAAAGGAGGAGTCTGAGATTTCACATTGGCACTTGCCCTGACTGTCGGTCTCTTCACCTCTTGGTCTGGGGACTAATTTCCAGCCTGTCTCTTCCTCCTCCTGCTTTGCATCTTGAATCCAGTTGGGAACACTGGGAAAAAATGCCGTCATGGCAGGTCTAGTAGAGGTTGGCCATGTCCAGCAGAAGGGGAGCCTGCAGGGCTCTTGGGGTGCTGCTGTCCCTCGGAACCCTCCGTGACCAAACGGCTTCAGGAGCAAAACATCTTCACCTGGAATCACAGGAGCTTGGTGTTAGGTCACCTCCTCTTCCCCCTGTGCACACACGTGTGGGCATTCCACAGGCACTGCAGATGGGAAGATCCATGTTCCCAGCCACGGGAACGCCCACCTCCTGATGTCTTTTGTTCTTCTCTCCCTTCACCCTCCTTGAGTAACACGTTAAACTTTTTCCAAAGTAACATTTCTGCAACTACTAAGAGCCAGTGTTACCTGTTGGATACATTTTCTCCTGAGAGGCTGTGGCAGGTGTCTCTCTGTAGCAATAAACACCTCACCTTTTCCCTTCTGCTCTCTGGATCACTTCTAAGCCCCTTTTCTCCTGTTCTCCCTGGTCTGTTCTCACCTGTTCTTGATACTTGCTTACATGGAATTCCCTTCCACAGCTTCTCAGGGAAACAAAGGATCTCTTCTGCTATTTTTCCATCCCCTCTGCTACCAGCACTGGTGAGAACAACCCTAAGCAACCCAACCTGAACCCCCAGACTGGTCAGTGAGGCTGGGGAAGAGCAGCTGCTGCTCCTAGCACCACGGAGCCCCTGCAGGGAGGACACAGATGCTGATTCTCCTCAGCCTGGGTCAGTCACTGCATTTTCACTTTTCTACTGGGGGGCACATTCTGCCTCTCTGCATTAGCAATTTTTCTACAGCAATGAGCAATTTTTAGTGTGAGGTTTTGGCTTTTTGTTGTGTTTTTTTTTAATTTTACACTCTCACCCATTGATAATGGAAGCTCAAGCTGTTTCCTGTTCAACAAAATGTTCCTCCTGTGGCTCTGCTGGCTTTCATGTTGATGAAAATCTACACAAATCTCTCTCAGCAGGTTGTTCTTGAGTTGTGTTTGTACTGCTGAAGTTCTGCATCTCCATGTAGTTCTACCACCACCCAAATGATGGTCACCTGCAACACAGCCCCTCAGACAAGATCTCTTTCACTGAACTGAGCTGCCTGAGAAACTCTTCTTAAAATAGCATCAAACCTCCGAGCTCTTTCTCACTCCAGGGTTGCTTCAGAGGGAGGAACTTCCTGCCTGCAGCCCAAGCTGGGTGCCAGTTGTGGGCAGGATGTGCAAGAGGAGGGACCCAACCGGCCCCGCGCGCAGCGGCGCCCGCAGCCACCGCAGCCCCCAGGGCAGGAACCACCCGGGTGGGCAGGGGGATGGCTCCTGGAAAATGTGTCACTCCCAGGTGTGGAAATGGCCGTTAGGAAGATCATGCAGTTTTGTCTGGGTTGAATCTGGCAGGGCAGAGCAGAACCACCCAGGGTGGAGGTGCTGGGGTGCCCCTGGGTAC